AGAGAGAGAGAGAGAGAGAGAGAGAGAGAGAGAGAGAGAAGAAACAGGAAACGAGGGTTGATATGCAGTGATTATCGCTGGCCCATTCTTCCCTCTCACTGTACAAACTGCTCTTTAAAAGAGGAGGTTCGGGCTGGAGAGATGGCTCAGAGGTTAAGAGCACTGGCTGTTCTTCCAGAGGTCCTAAGTTCAATTCCCAGCAACCACATGGTGGCTCACAACCATCTGTAATGAGATCTTGTGCCCTCTTCTGGCCTGCAGTCATACATGCTGTATACATAATAAATAAAAAAATTTAAAAAAAAAAGAGGAGGTTCATTCAGCTTGCGTGTTTGGCAGCTAAAGAAGTTCAGTCTCCCTGGCTTCAGCTGGGCAGCCTCTGGCTAGACATAGCAGCCACAACACAAGACAACAGAGGCAGAAAGGGAGCAAGCTATGCCCAGAAAGGCTTCCTTCAGTAACTGATCTCTCCTGAGACCAGAATTAGTCCCTTCTGAGAGTGGAACCCACATGACCTCCTGCCTTTGCACTGGCCCCCAATTTTTATTTTTTTTTGAGTCAGAGTCTCACTTTGTAACCCTGACTGTCCTGGAACTGGCTATATGGACCAGGTTGGTCTCGAACTCAGAGATCCACCTGCTTCTGACGCCCAAGTGCTGGGATTAAAGGCGAATGCCACCACCATGCCTGGCCCCGCTCTTAAAGGTTCCCCCACCTTGACACGTCACAGCACATGAACTTTGGTGAGACACACGCAGACCACAGCAGTCCATTCCTTGCGCTCGCTGTTCCAGGGTCCTGGGTCAGTGGACTCCCTCGTTACACCTTCCCTGACCAGTGAGGGAGACAGCATGTGTGTGGACAGCCCTCCCTCATGAACCCAGGAGCCTCCTCACGTCCGTTAACGTGTTATTGCGTGACCACACGAAGCCTGCAGACCTAGCCTCAGTCATGGTTGCCTCCACCGGTGAAGCAGCCAGGACTTTTGTGACCCCCGACTCCCTCCTCCTGTGCCTTTAGTCCTTGTTTACAAGCTTCAGGGCAGGCATGCGGAGGGTTTCTTAGTGGGCCTTGTCCTCTGTATGAGCCGTCTGCTTTCCCTGGCTTTAGGTGTGCGGTGTGTGGCCTCTGTTGTGGCCTCCTGTCTGAGGGAAAGAAAAGACAAAAATGAGAACTGGGTTTATCTGGCAGAGTGGCTGGCCTCCTCGGCCTCTGGGTTGTGAGTCTCCGTGCAGGCTCTGTGTGCACATACTCTTCTCCGCTTCTCATGTCTGCTTCTGTGTCTTTATTTCTGTATTGGGGCAAAAATTCCCATACTCTCAAAGCTCTAAACTTCTCACCTCTTGCAGGTTCCTTGGAAGTGACAACCAGGACACCTTTTTCACCAGTACCAAGAGGCACCAGATTGTGAGTGGCATGTGTCTGCTACAGACCCTCATCTGACTAGGCTCAGAAAGGCCTGACAGAGCCCAACCACCAACCCTGAGGTCTTCCTGGCCACCATAAAGCTCCCCAAAACTAGAGGGCAGAAGCCTTACAGACTGTCTCTGATCATGCACGTAGAGGGAGGGTGTGGCCTGGATGCAGGACCATGGGGGTGGGGCATGACCAGATGGCACAGAGTCAAGTGAAACCAGCTCTCTATCCAGTACCCCTCCACAGTCTGGGGCGCAGAGCAATACATGGTATGGACCTCTGGGACAGACAGCCAAGGCACCAGGCCCAGGTGAGGTGATCCTCTTGCCTGGCCAGAACAGACAAGGAATAGGTCTCGGTATACCCTAAGCTAATCTGTCAAAACCAGGCTACAGGGGCAGATCTGAGGTACTGGGACAATGTTTCTCAACCTATGGGTCTCAACCCCTTTGGGGATCAAATGACCCTTTCACAGGGGGTTGCCTAAGACCATCAGAAAACACAGATATTTATATTATAATTCATAACAGTAATGAAATTACAGTTATGAAGTAGCAATGTAAATAATGTTATGGTTGGGGGTCCCCACACCATGAGGAACTGTATTAAAAGGTTGCAGAGTTAGGAAGGTTGAGAACCACTCCAACAGCATGTGGCCAGGAGCATCTAGACAGGCCTGAACCACACACTTATAACCACCAAAGGCCACTGCTACAGTGGCCACCAAGACAGAGGTTTCCCACCCCAGACAGGTATCCTAACAGAGCTGGTCCTACTGGAACAGGGGTCCATGCATGACTAGGTCCAGGTGCCAGCCCAGGCTGGACTCTAAAGAGCTATGTGACTAAAGATGGGAGAATGACTATTACCCTACCAGTGTGGTCATGAATGTGTGGTTATGACACAGGATTTCACGGCATTGGGGACACTCCACCAATATCATTATCTATCACTGGGGGTCGTAAGAGGTCATCCAAGGTTTCAGCACCAAGATGGGTGTCCCTACTGTGCCCTCACATGGCCAGTGATAGGTGCTATCCTCCACCCATCCCACAGCTGTTTGAGATCCTGGCCAAGACTCAATATGGCCACGAGAAGAAAGGCTTCTTTGGGATTGATCAGCTGCTGGCAGAGGGTGTCTTCAGTGCGGCCTTCCCCCTGCATGACGTGAGTCTCAGGGCTTGGGGTTGAGCCAGGGTAGACGGTGAATTCCCCTAGTGCTATTGCCTGCCTTGTCCACAGGAAGCAGAGGAGTCTTGCCCTCTGTGACAGCCACCCTGGGGTCAGGAATACCAAATGCATAGCCTTGTAATGTGAAGCGGTCCATGTTGGATCCTGAAGGTTCAGCTTGGTCTCTTGCCCTTGCTGGGGGTCCCTGGCAAATATACCAGGCCCCCCACTCCAGATACCAAGACTGGGTTTCTCAGGCAGCGTCTCTCACTAGAAAAGATAGGAAGGTCTCCAGCACCCTTTTCCCTACCTAGAAGCTGGGCAATGTGGGGCAGAGGCAGGGAGACAGTCACTATAATAGCTGCCTGGTGCTGCCCCGACGCGCCTTCTATCATCCATGTGTAGGTCAGGATGTTATTCTTGCCCCAGTTTTGCCGCAGCCTTCGACCATACAGGGGACCCCCGATTCCAAAAGGTCTTGAGTTATACATGCTCATGAAGCCATGGGAACAGTCCTGCTTGATATCACGAAGTTAAATGAAGTGGACATAGAAATGCCAGGCGCACCCCCCTCCATCTCTCTCTCTTTCTCTCTCTTTCTCTCTCTTTCTCTCTCTTTCTCTCTCTCTCTCTCTCTCTCTCTCTCTCTCTCTCTCTCTCTCTC